GTGTATTTGCATGCAGCCCCGGTGAATTTCTGGACTAGGACATAATTGGTTTGCCATTAAGCATTATGCAGGAAATGGTTTGTAACAACATGAAAATTTGCACTGTTTCTGAGCTTGAACTAAAAACCAAACTGAAGTTGTACGGTTCTTTGTCTGGTTTGTGTCTGGGTGCAAAATAAAAAAGCACAAGCAAGTCATTAGGAATGCAGTACGATTTTTGTAACACCTTACCAATCATGCCACATTTTAAAGTTTTTCACACTTGCTTAAATTAAGGCACATTAAAATATGCATAGAATGCTTGACCTCAAAGGGAGATGTTTGAGATATTTTAGTTCTGCTCATCTTTTTTCTGCAGGAAAATGTCTGGAGTTTATGTACAGTATTTATTTGTTTATTGGACACTCATTATATGCCCGGAACTGTTTAGGTACAAAGTATACAGACCCTAAGAATCTGCTCCTCAGCAACGCACAGGCCAGTGGCCAAAGTACAGATAAGTAAACAGGATGATTTGACTATCCTCAGGCCAGTGAGAAACAGCAGATCAAGTTATCTTTAAAGCCTAACTAACTGTGGAAGCTTGTTACCCTCATGTGCTCCTTTGGTACCTCTTCAAAGCAGGGTTTCCAGGGACGTCTTATGATACTTTTATGGCCGCCCTTGAGACTCCCCAATTCAGATGGCAACAGCGTAACTATGCTCTAAATCAGTGATGGCAAACCTTTTAGAGACTGAGTGCCCAAACTGCAACCCCAAACCCACTTATTCATTGTAAAGTGCCAACACAGCAATTAAACCTGAATAGCCAATGTTCAGCTGCTGGGGCAATGCTGGGGTGATTTGGCTCGGGTGCTGACAGAGAGGGCTCTGTGTGCCCACTGCAGCACGTGTGCCATAGGTTCGCCAGCACTGCTCTAAATATATTGCAGGAGAGGCCATCCTTTTTCTCTGAACATCTGAACTCCAGCCAAGCACTGGGTATCTCTGCATGTCTGGGACACATCACACTTTCTGGCACCCTCGTCCTTTCTTACTCATTTCCTTCCCCTGGCATTTGTTCCCTTTGGCTCTTCTGAAAGCTGCATTTATGATGTATGATAAAAACTACAATGAATGTCTAAATTAAAAAAAGTTTTTACAGTAAAAGACACTTTGCTATTAACCCCCTCTAAATCCTCCCCCTCAGTTTGAATACAGTTATCCCATCATTCTTACCCCTTTCTGAAGCAGCTCTGGGAGTCCTCTTTGAAGGACCCTAGTTGGCAAAACAGACTCCATATTGCTGCTGGATGACCCACCTGCCTGCCCTTTAGATGAACTTAGAAGGAGGAAGTTTAGAAACCTCCTCCCCTTAGAAAGTCTCTTTAGAAACAACAATTAATCAACTATTGTTTTACAAATGTTCTAATGGCAGGATGTTCTGCTTCTGTTCCTTTTGCTTGCTTTGCTAGTTCTGTCCCATAGGGGGGCCTAGAAACTGTTGGCCTCAAAGGTGTATAAAACAAGTTTGTCTCCCCCCAGTCGGGGCTTGAGTCCGATGCTTGGCTCAGGTCCAGGCCAGTAATAAACTCCTGTGTGGATTTAATATCGGTCTCTGGTTGGTTCTTTCTCGCTGGGTGTAACACTCTTTCTTGAGTGTCTTTAGTTGTACTGTTGTGGCTGCCTTAATGTCCTGAATTGACTCAAAACATATGCCTTTTGTGAACATTTGGACTTAATACAAGAGCCACAAGTCGTACGGTGCCAGAAGGGCTGGAGAATAAGGTGGATGAGAACACACGGTCGTGTTTTGACCAGTCGCCTTTCTGTTGGGTGGCATTTGGCAGCAGAAGTCACTGCATTTTTTTTTTATCACATCTCATAAAGGCCAAAAACAGGACTCCAACAAGTGGCAAGGAGGATGGATAATTGTGTATGAAGTGATGGCAATTATTTTAAGGGGATTAATGGCAATGTATCTTTTACTATGATAAATTAAAAATTACACATTCACTACATTTTTAAATCACACGTCATATATTCTTCACATATGGGAAGTATTTTTTTGGTCAAAGTTAAAAACTTGTTGTGTTCCTTGGCAAAATGATTTGCTGGGCAAGGCTGGCTTCAATTTGAAAGAAGAGCTTTCAGTAGGCAACAAAATAAAAATTCCATAAACACTCTGGCCACACGGTAGCTCTTCTTCATAAAACCTAATACACTTTGCTAGGTGTGGTGGTGAATACCTGTAATCCTAGCACTTGGGTGGCTGAGGCAGGAGGATCTTCACAAGTTTGAGGCCAGCTTGGGCTATGTAGTGGGTTCAAGGCCAGCCTGAACTACATAGACAGGCACTATTTCAAACAAACAAACACCACCAATTTTGTCATTCAGTTACACATGCTTGTAGAGATCTATACAGAAATTTTGACATTTTTCCTAAAGCACTAGCTTTTTAGCAGGGACCAGAATGATTTTCTCAAGATTAACCTGGACAGAAGGCACAAAGACAATTCTATAGAAATGATATTAGCGTAGTAGCGAACCTGCTACCTGAAGGCACTGCCCCCCAGGGGGTGAGACCGAGGCTCACAGGCGAAGCAACATGCCAAGGCCTTTCTGTTCCTCTCCCTTCCATCTAGCTGTGCCTTTTTGGAGATGTCAAAGGTATCCCCATGTTGGCCTGTTCCTCACCTCATTTGTATGTGTTTGCCTTCTTCTAAAGCAGTGAGAAGCCAAGGTCAGGCTCGGTTTGCCTATGAGTTATCTCATATAATGCGCAGCATGCAGGCTGGTCACTCACAGCATGAGACTCAGAACCAGTGAGCAGGAGGTGGGGCAGCTGGGCTTTGTACCCAGACAGCAGTGGGTTTCAATCCCACCTCCACTACCACTGGCCAAGCCATTTTATCTTTTCTGAACTTTAGCTTTCTCAACTGGATTGTGAGGTGAATGCTACCTATCTTACAATGTAACACTAAGAATTGAAGAGAAAAAACAGGAAGGACTTTGCAAATAGTTGGTCTCTGCCTTTTTCCTAACCACAAATAGCTATTGCATTCACTGACCCATTCTGTGAGCTGGCCCAGGCCTGCCCCAGCTTCTGGGTCAGAAACTCATCAGCTTTGAGCCTACGTCTTGCTCACATCCTGCTATTCTCAGCTCTCCTCTAGGATGCTCCCAGTCTCTGTTCACCCAGCCCAAGGTCTGGCTGGCGTCCAGGTTCCAAATGAACTGGGCTTCTTCCTGCTGTCAGTCCTGGTGGGTCAGATGCACGCACCCACACTCATCCTGGGCCATGCCTAAGATCTCTGTATTCTTACCATACAGTACGGTGCTGTTACACAGCTGGCCTTCACAACTGCATGTCATCTTCCTGCTCGGTGTTTACTACTATTATTATTCTGAGCATCTTCCAGGAGCCAGGCCCTGTAACAAGGGGGCATGGTCCAGGCAATTGAGCTAACTGCTTTATGTGTATCAACTCATTTCATCCTCATTACAATCCTAAAGTAGGTATTAATAATATTTTATATAAAAATGAGGAGATTGAGACTCACAAATGCTAGGGAACGCTCGCTCTCCAAGTCACACAGGTAGTAAATCCAGAACTGAGCTCCCAAGCCAGTGCTCACAGCCATCACACCACACTGCTTTTCATCCCACCTGCCAAACCCCTCTCCTTCCTTTCCTGAGTGCTCCACGCAGCACTCCTCACAGTGCTCTTTCACTGGAGCACGTCGCACAGTGCACTGTGCTTGATTTACCTGTCTGCATCTCATTAGACTAGGAGCTCCCTGAGGGCAGGGTCTGTGTTTTGTTTTATTCCCACAGCCCTGTGCTCAGCATAATACCTGGCACACAGCAAGTACTCCAAAGGATGTTCATTGACTGAGTTGCATTGGATTTTTCTTTTCTACTTGCTGAAGTTTCCTTGTGTCCTCTAGCCTTACCCATTTGTGCTATGACAGCTCTAGAATCAACAATAGCCACTAACTCTTGGGTCTTAAATGATGTGTGTGTATGCATGTGTAAGGCTCTGTGTGCCATGTGTTTGCTCTACTGTCTCCTAAAGTAACTACAGTTTTCCAAACATTTGTCTACCTCAAAAACTTTTTAGCCATAGTGTCTGGTGGCACATGATGTCCATCTGGCCATGTGAAGTTAATTCTGATCATTCAATCAAGACCTTGTCTTGTTTCTTCCCTGTGAAGTTAACATTCTTTTCCTCTTATAACTAATGAACAGTCTGTGAAGAAATATCTTAAAACCATGCATGTATCCTGTTACTCATCAGATTTCCTCCTGGATTCATCAATGATTCTCGCCTGTGCCTCTCTTTAATATGGTGATTGCAAAATGATGATTTTGCACCTAAATGCAATGTCCAGCCCTAAGTGCATCCTGTCCAGGAAGAGAAGTGCCATAAAGGACACAGAATAAACATTAGATGTCTTACTTACAGCAGTTCAAGCCTTTCATTTCATGGCCAACACAATCTAGTAACAAGCACAAGTCCCCCCTGGATCGAATCATCACCAAGGTCTCGTCTTATATGAGATCTGTTATGGTTGATATCGAGACTGGACCCCAAGGCTTCAAATGCTTGGGGGCTTTTGGAAGAGGACTGGACCACAGGAGCAGGATAGCTTGCTTCCTCTTAGGAGGTAGGGCCTGGATGGGGGAGACAGGTTGCTGGGTACATGACCCGGAAGGGTGCATCTCCCCCCAGCTCCTCCCTTCTCTCTCTGCTTCCTGACTCCTATGGGATGAGCACCTTTCCTCCACTGGACCCTTCCAACATGCTGCTTTTGCCTTGGAGCCAGCTGACCATGAGCCAAAGCAAACCTCTCTTTAAGTTGCAAGTGTTGGATATTGTGTCTCAGCGATGAAAAAGTGAGGAAGACGCATTCCTGTGACTTTATGAGAAACTTCTGGTACCAATGGTAGTTCCTGTATAGAAACTGCTGAGTAAATAATAGTGGCATTTTGAAATGGAAGACTCTAGTTCTAGTTGCATGTGTCTAAGTTCTTTTTTTATTAGGAGACAAAGCAGAAATAAGGAAATGATACCTAAAGAGTCTTGAATATAAGATGAAAGGAAGGAGGTCTCAAATACAATGACAGAACCTTCCAGTGTCAGCACCTGGAGTCCCTGTTCAGTCCCCATTCATGATCGCTGAATATTCTTTCTGGTGTTCAACCAGCTTCCGGAATACTTGGTATTTCTTGTCATAATATCTGTGGGAGAAGGATAAATATGTTGAGCAATCTCAAAGCAAAACTGCCACGTGGCTTCTCCTTCCGTTTAGTTTTAATCATGCCCATACCTCCCAGGTTTTGAATGCTCACACCCTCTTGGGCAGTGGACTTTCATGCTTCAAACCCTTTACCTATAAGCTACCAGAAGCGCTATTAGGTCCATTTTTGAGATAAAGGCATTTTCTCTCACACACATATATCCAAAGTAGTATAGTTAAAAACTAGTGGAACCAGAATTCAAACTCAGAATGGTCTGACTTCAAAGCTTCCACTATGCACTAAAAGGCCTGGGCTTAGTATAGACCTTTCCACACTCCCATCTTCAATCCATTTTTCCTATATGACTGGCACAGGTTACAACCATAGTCTGACCAGGCACAAGACTAGAAGTCCTGGGCAGACTGCTTTATCCAGGAGTAAAAGCCCATAGAAATGGGACATAGTGCCTTTCCTGTCGCTGGACCCTCCCCTCCAGGCACCTGCCTGTCCCCTTCTGCTGACCCTTAAGGTGAGACCTGTGAGAACTGCTGATGTCCACAAATCAGAGGGCAGGCCAGCTGTAACTGCTCTGGCATCAGAGTCCTGAAAGGGATAAACAGCAGCCAGACAAATGATACTGGGTACTTTGTAGCTTTGTCCTGACTCTCCTGCTGGGGAGCTGAAGAGATGAAGCCAGTTTAGCCTGAGGGAGCTGTGATGTAAGCTTGTGAATTAGGGCAGAGAGGTTGGAAGAGTGACTTCAGCTATGCACAGGACTACTTCTCACACATTTCTACCTTAGGCATTCTGGATGCATTCAGCCATGATGGAGCCAAACTCACAGCTAAGAGAGGGGCTCTGCGGCCAGGATTTGGATCCCGGTGTGGCCCAGGACCAGCTGTGTGACCTTGGACGTGGTACTGAACCTATCTGTGCCAGAATTTCCTCATCTGTAACAGGGGATAATTATAGGATCTACTTCAGTAGAACTGTTGGGTGCATTAAATGAAGCAATACATGAAAAGCATGTAGAACAATGCTGACTCATAGTAAGTGATAGAAGTGCTAGTTACTACTTTTAAATAATTAACATTTTGATATCATTGATCTGATACATATGGATACTGCAAAACTTACTCTATGAGCCCTCGAATTGTTAATAATGTATCTATTTTTAGGGACAATCTTCTGCTTTTACTGGTGCTCTTGGCAATACAATGTAGAGTTATTCATTCATTATATGAGATAGATTCCTGATACTGAAATCTCAAAACTGCTAGAAGGAGGCTAAGGGCAGAATGCTTCTCATATACTTGAATATTTCCTGTTTTAAAAACTTTGCAGCAACTTTATTCACTGGCCTTATTTTTTAGACAGGTGGACAATACAGTATTTGAATGTTTGTGATTATCTTATTTCACTTGACATAAACCTTAAGGTTCACTCACATTATGAGCATATGCTAGAATTTCCTTCCTTTTTAAGGTTGAATAATAATCACTGCATGTGTATATCATTGTTTGCTCATATATGAATGCACTAAGGGACACCTGGGTTATTCTTATGGTTTTAGCTACTGTCAACAATGCTGCTGTGGACATGGATGTGCAGATATCACCAGACTTTGCTTTCAGTTTCTCTGCATATTTATCCAGGTACAGAATTGCTGGGTCATCTGTTAGTTTTATATTTACTTTTTGAAGAACTGCTGTACCCTAGTGTTTCCCATAGCGGCTCTGTCATTTTGCCACACACTTTCCAATTTCTTCCCATGACTGCCACGCTTGTTACTCTGTGTGCAGGCAGCTGTTTTTGCAGTGCCCGTCCAGGGCGTGTGAGGTGGCAGCTCACTGTGGCTTTGAGTGGCCTGTCCCTAACGGTGATGTTGAACAACCCGTCATGTGCTTCTTGGCGTGAATACGTCCTCTTTAGAGAAACATTCACTCAAGCCCTTTAAGCACTTTTGAATTGTATTACTGAGGAGTCTTTTGTTGCTGAGTTTTAGGAGTTCTTTATATATTCTGGATATGAATTCCTCATTAAATATATGATTTGCATATATTTTCTCCTATCCTGTGCGTGCCTTTTTAATTTATTGTTAGCATCTTCAGGACACAATTTTAATACATGTTTGTAAGTGTCCTAAAGTCACATACAAACTTGGTCTGGGCCTAAGGATGAAATTTGGGGTCGTCCTAGACATTTGCTGATTGAGCTATCACCATCAGATTAGGTTATATGTAACCTTGGCTTTCCAAGTCAGTTGAGTTCCCTGTCTCCTAAATTCTTCCCCACTCAGTCAGTTGGTTCTTTGCGGCATAGACCCAAGTAAACGTCCCACACAGTTAACGGGATCTGAAGCCAGGAACGTGAGGCCCCCAGCACCGCATCCTAGCTGCGGATCTTCGGTTCGCCGGTAGGTGGGGCTGCAGCATTGCGATTGCCTGCCTCTTGGTTTTCCGGGACAGCCATCAGCTGCCGGGAAGGAGCCAGATCCCTTCCAAAGCAACACTCTAGGTTGAAAGAACTGAAAAATAGACTTCCCTCAAAAGTCCTGAAAGGGCGAGGAGGGAGTTAGAGAATGATGCCTGTTTCCTATTTCACAAAACAAGGGATGCCCCAGCCCCCTCAGGGGAGCAGAGGTGACACCAGCTCCCTGCCTCCTGCTTGAGCTCCCCGGAGGAGGGCCTGCATGCACCTCCAGGCCTCAGTTAGCAGTGGCTCCACTTAGAGACAAAGAAGAACATGGGAAAAACTGGATTATGTTTTCTGTGGACATTTCTAACTCTGTTAAATACTGAACATGCTCAGTCTAACCTGCACCTTTGCCTGCCCATTACATGAGGTGGTGGGATTTGCTTTTATGTCTTAACCTCAAATACCTTCCTAAATTACAAAGGTTCTTGCACAACTGAAACCTTCATCTTCAAACTCACTGCCGATGACTTCACAGAGGTCTTTTTCATCTCTAACGTGGTTAGCTTAAAAGCCTTCTGTCTGGCCTTTCAACTTCTAACCTTACCCCCCCCAGAATGAACCCTCTAAGTGGAATTTTCTGAAATCTGCATTTGACCCGTGCGCTGCTTAAAATTTAGAATCTTGAGTTTTGTCTGTAGGATGAGGTTCAAGGTCGCTAGCACAGCCCTTTGTAAGCTATTTTCTTTTGTCTCACTTGCTGCCACCCCACCTCACACTCTGTGCTTTGGAGTTATGACTTGTTTATGTGTGGGAACAATATAACATGCTGTTCCCACTTTCATAACTCTGCATATATTATTCCTTGTCTTGGCTGGAATAGCCATTTCTTTTAAACATTAAATGTTAGCTGAGACTTAACCTACTCCTAAATGCTTTCTCTCACCCCTATAGGGTCATGTTTCTTTCCTCTTTAGGCTACTTTGTCACCTGGTAATACTTTTAATGGAAATACTTATTCCTTTGTTCTGTAGTGATCTATGTGCATAAATCTGATTATGTCTTATTCCCCTCTAAAACCTGCCTGGAGCTCAGCATAATGTCTTGAATTTAGCAGGGGCTAAATAAATAAATATTTTGGCAAGTTGGAATTAAAGCACAGATCAGGGTCGTTTTGTAGCCCTCAATGCCAAGCAATACAAAAGGTAAAAGAATGGACAGATGCTGTCCATTTTATGTGAGATACAAAAGATCTCCATTTTTTTTTTTTTTTTTTTAGAGCAGAGAAGACCAGACTTGCTACAAGTGAGTCAGGAAAACAGAACAACGGCCTGAGAGTTCAGCAGCTTGCATTGACCTCAGCTCTGGCCCTACCTAGCTCTGAATCTTAAGCAAACAACAGTGACCTATCTCTCTGGGAATTAGTTTTCTCAACTGTTAAATAAAAGGACAGGATTTGTTAAACTCCAAATTTATTCCAGATCTGTAGCAGCATGCATATTTATGTTCTCAATCTTTAGTACTGTGCATGTCAAAAATACAAACTTACTTTTTATCTTCATGTCTTGGGAACATGACTTTCCCAACTTTACTCATTCTTGTCATGGCCTCCTGTTAAATGGAAAACAATGCGGACAGCTGAGTTGAAAAGCTACAGCAAAGACAGGCAAGAATTCACTTCCCTTTAAGATATTCAGTTAGCCCATTTGTTTTTCAACTTATTTTTCTCTGGCAGTAAGAATAAAACCCTATGAATGGTTAAGGTTACATCTGTGACCACACATCCTGGGCTTATTAAATAGCTGTGTTTTGAGGTCTTCAGGGGATACACTGGCCAGAAGACAAAGCCCTTCTGTGGCTGCTTCCCGGGCTCAGATGGAGTAATTTCCCCTCCTCATTCCCTGGACAAGGAGGCATAAGAAGGAGCAAAGTCAGCCCCTGAGTTCGCTGGGTGCCTGACTACAGAGAACAGTGATTGACGGGAAACCACTTGTTACCCATGCTTCAGGATGACTTAGTTACAATCTCTTCTTTTCACCTTCAGCTTTTGTCCCAGAAGTGTCTGAGGCTGTGCGTACAGACACGAGCCCTCTGTGCTGAGTCTAACTGACCCAGACTCGGGAATGTGACTGCAGGACATTTTTGTCTTTACCTTGGGGCCCTCAAGCAGAAGACATGTCACAGCATCTGGGAGGACACGGTATGCTGTGTACTGCATCAAGACTGACCATAGATTGTCCTGGCTCCAGGCTCTATTTGGGTTAGGTTTTCTTGGCAGTCTGCCCATGAATGTTAAGGCCATGAGAAAGTTAGGCAGAGTGGAGTGTACCCAAACTTTAGAGTCCAGCAGTCCAGTCACGTTAGGGAAGACTGCAAGCAATAGCACAACAGAACTCAGCAGAATAGCCAGTGCCATAGGAATGGTTATTGAGCTCTTATTTTTTATTTTATTTTATTTTATTTTATTTTTTTTGGTACCAGGGATTGAACTCAGGACCTTGTGGTTGCCAGGCAGGCACCAGGACCACTGAGCTAAATCCCCAGCCCTGAGCTCTTATTTTTAAGGACACAGTCATTCTGGGGTCACATGCACAACTTCTTATTCCACACATTTATTAATTACTCACTTTGTATCAGACACTGTTAAGGATACGGATTTGTGGAAGACATACTCTTTGTCCCAGAGAAACTTATATAATTGGAGGGGAGTAAAAACATGGGAAAAGCTGATTGCCATCCAGGGTATGAGAACCCCTTGGGTATTTTCGAAACATATCTACACATTCCCCTGAGCATCTCTGCCACCTTGCCATGACAGAGTGATTGAACTGTATATGACTAGCTACCTTCTGACATCCCAAGGATTGACTGGTTTATGTGTTCATTATTTGCCCTTTTCTCTCCTGGCCCTAACCAAACTGTAAGTCACATAAGGGCAAAGACGTGCTGTGTCTGTTTACTGTTGAATCTCGCATCTAGACTATTCATAAAGCATTGAGCACCTTTAATACACCAAGCATAACACTGAATACACATGGAGGCAGGGGAGGAAGATTGCTTGGGCCTTTCACCAAGATGCTCTCTAAAGAATGGAAAAGATTTTTCTTCTGATTGAAACAGTATGATAAGTACTTCTTTTCAATAACTGTGTAAGGTGTAGGAAATTCGATAGCTTTTTCATCTGCCAACTTACACAAATTTCCATTCCTGCTAGGAAGTAGTAGCCACTTTTCCCCAAGGACAGCATGAACAGTCAGAATTAGTTACCTGTTTCCTACTGTCATTGAGCAGATGAGAAAGCACTGTTTGGAGATGCGAGATGGGAACAATAGCAAGCACACTGATTGGACAAAGAAATGGCAGCCTTGAGTAGAGAGATTTTTAAAATGATGAGAAATTACTGGTATGCAAACCAGAAAGACAAGACAACAAGTACAGAAGGGTTATCTGGAGCCGATTACAAAGGGGAAAACAGGCAAACACATTTCATGGAGGTTGCTTCTGCTTCACTTAGGGCTGCAGTAAGGGCTCTGCTTATCCTGCCAGGTGCCAGAACAGGTTCCTTCATGGACTGAGATCTGAACCCCAAAGCAATCCCTTTTAATCCCCTTAAGCAAAGACGAGATAGTCTCAGCAATCCCTGTCATGAGCTCAGCCACTCATTCTCATTCTGTCTTTGCCTCTTTCTCAGCTGATTCCCCCCTCTGAATCCTGAAAATGCCCTTGGGGCATGGCTCTGCTGGTAACATGGCATTCCAGGAGTGTCTTCATAAATGTACCTTCTGTAAATGTTATTTTTCTTCCCATGTAACACACATGTGGCCAAATGGCAGGCATCAAGGAATTCTCTCTTCCTTTCTTCACATTACCTTTGTTTTAAAAAAATAAATTACTGAGAAGCAAATGCAATAGAGATTTTAAAAAATTTAAAGTCTATTTTGTTTCTGAGAAAGAACTTATTTCAAAATTAAACTTTAGTCAGGGACCCACCTCACTGAAATTCTTTTTTCTTGACTCATTCCTACCACTTGTGTCCCTCCTAGATGGAGTTATTTGTTCCTACAGCAACTTGTGCTTCCATCTACCAAAGCATTTGTATCATGGCACCATAAGTTTTTCTTAACACATCAGTCTCCCCAGCTAGACTGTGAGCTCCTTACGGCAGGAATTGTTATAATTATTTTGACTGCCAAACTCAGCATCTGGCATATCATATGCATTCAGGGAATGTCAGCAGATCGAAGGAACTGAAGGATCACACATGTGACAGAATGTTAAAATGGAAGTTTTGGCTGAGATCTAAAGATGACAGATATAAGACACCAGAGTGAGCTGGAAACAGACCACCTGAAGAGTTTGTACAAGGGTAGTTAGGACCTATGAATCAACTCTTACACCTTCCATCAACATGGAAGGTCAGAGAGAGAGATGGAGTTCTAGAAGAAAGCTGCTGGCATATGGTGCATCAGGCCTACTTCCAGGGTGAGGTGGGAGGGAAGTCTCTTCCTTCATGAGTTATGGCTGCAGGGATTCACTGAGACCAACACAGAATTGGGTGCCTGTCCCTGAGGCTGTAGCGCACAGTGCACTGTGGGTAACTCCTGCTAGGAAGACACATGCTGACTGGCAGCTCCAGCTGGCAAAAGGAGATGTCCTCGGATCACCTAGCACCAGCAAGGGCTTCAGGCTCCCAGAAGCATGGTTGTTTTCCATGGACGGAAAGGCTGTTCTGGGCTCTCAGTTCTTCTCCAATATGGACAGCTACTGAAGCTGGATGTAAACCAATAGATTGCTGAGGAATTGAGAGGAGATTATACAGTTTGCTAGAATAAAGAAAGGTATTAATAAGCACAAAGATACCGTGAGAGGTTTTCAGAAGTGGTGTCCAAAAAAATCTGACAGAGCCTTATGAGACCAAGAGCTAGCTCTTTGGGTCTAGCAGGCTTAGAGAGCATAAAGTCCATTTATAACAATGCTGTTCAGGAAAGAACTTTCTGGACCCCTAACCTGTCTTCCCTCATGCCCCCCAACCACCTCAGGGGAGCAAGGAAAATGCTAGTATGTTGGAAAGGAAGTGAATTTGCAAAATAGAAGAATCTAATCATAGCTACCTCCTGTCATTTGTGGCAGACCCAGCTAGAGAAAGCAGATGTCTTACCTCTTCATATATACATAATATTCATATATATTATATTCATATATATTATATTCATATATATATATATTCTTGATGTTTGAATTTCCAAATTTTTGTTATGTCTCATAAGTTTAAAAGACCATAAAACGTGGATTATTTAAGCGACTTTGTTCTCACCTAATGGAACTACCAGAACTTTTAACCTGGGTCAGGAAAAACTGGCTTTACTACAGAAAGGGAAAGGGGCAGTAGAGTAACAACTAAAGCCATTTTTCAGTTGTGTGGCCAGAATTGTGTGAATCGGGCTACACAATTTTTTATTTGTTTAATGCAACTTGTTAAACATGGTTATATGTCCATAATGAAAGAAAGTGTATTAAAATGTTAAAAAGTTTGAGAGCATGTGTGGTAAGCTGTTTTTCTTGTCAACTTGTCTTTTAAAATTTTCTATGGTGGCATAAATTGTTCTTTATCGTTGCGAGGAAAACACAGAGGTACCGCATTATCTTAACACAAGTTCCACTACACAGGCAGTCCACATGCCTGGGCGACCCCTCCTCCCTCCTGGAAGGCGGGCTGCTGCGGTCACTGCACTCTATGGAGAATGCCAGAGGATCAGTGCTGTCATCTCACACAGCACTGCTGAGTTTTCTACTTCAGCCAATAATTAACACAAAACTGAAACTTCATGAATCCACTGGCTGCAGTAAATCTGCAAATTACCACAGCATAACAATAGGAATTTCTTATGGAAATCCTGATACATGCTAAATATAGTCACCCCCACAATATATTTCTGTTCAAAAGGGTTTATTTGAAGCTAGACTAAATTCGTACTTTCTGTCAGCAGGCAGGAGCTGGACAGTCTTAATCTGCAACACGCAACCCTCTTTGTTTGAGAGTCTAGACAGCACAATGAATAGAATGACTTTTCTTTTTTTCCTTTTTGCCCACACAATGAAAGCTTTTTAAAAACAAAATATTTTGTAAAATAGCATTTTAATCACTTCTTTTCTTTCTCTAAGGCAGAGCTATAAATACATGATGAAAGTTCACATTTGATTGTCACTTCTGAAAGCAAGTGAAGGGCTTCTGTAGGGAAAAATGGGGTCCCTGTAGCCGGCCAAGAAAGACCTCATTCATGGGTTTGACCCTTCCCTGGAGTGTCAAGGACAAGATGCCAGTCAGCACACTCTGCTGATTGCTCTCTGGAGGTAGCATTGGCAACTGTCAGGCCTCTGAGTGGGCAGGGGAAGCACCCAGTTCTCATGTGCTATGGTTCTGTTGAGACCATAGTGGGGTGAGTTACCAGGGCAGTGGAGTACAGGAAGGAAGGGGCTCTGCAGTACCCATGGAGAAGATACAGATTCCTTGGCAGCAGACATGCTGATGTTGGCAATGTGGAAAGAAAGAGATGCAGTGCCTTCTCCTCCACCTTGGGGCCTGTGGCCCCAACACTCCCAGTTCTCCTGCA